AATGCTTCCTCAGCTCTGGCATTTGTAATCACAGGAGATGCCGGTAGGGTAATGTCCACTGTGGCTGTCAGTCAGGAAGCCCGTTGAGGGGGACTCCAGGCTGGTGGACCAACTGACCCGGCCTTGGAGCATTAGGGTGGGGAGCTGGGGACCATCCCTTCCCTGGACCACAACTGTAAGAAGAAAGTCCAGATGGCCCCAAGGAGCCAGCTCCAAGAACAGAGATAAAATCTACATATTCAAAAGCATTTTTACCGAATCATCTATTCTACAGATCCCGACTGAGCCCCCACTAAGTACTATTTAGACTGATATGGTTCCTGCCCTCCTGAGGCTTACAATCTACTGAGAAAGACTGTCAGCACCAGATCAAATGTATTGTTGTGGGGGGGGGGGTTAGTGCAATGAAGAAAAATTAAATCTGGTAAAAGGGACAGGGCATGATGCTATTCTAAGTAAGGCAGTCAGAAAAGGCCTCTCTATAAGGTGACATTTGAACAGAGAACTGAATGAAGCAAGAGAATAAGACACGTGATTGCCTGGAAAAGCATGTCAAGCCAAAGGAACAGTAAGTGCAAAGGCCCTGAGGAAGAAATAGCGAAATGTGTTCCAGGAACAGCTAAGAGGCCAGTATAGTGGGACATGGTGGGTGAGGGGAAGATTGTGGATGGGCCATGCAGACCTTTGTATTGTGCTTGGAGATGCAGGAAACCACTGGGGGGCTGAACAGAGGAATGACACGATCTGACTTGAGTTGTAAAAGGATCACTTGGGCCGATATGAAGCCTAAACTGTAGAGGTCAAGAGTAGACGCAGGAGATGCGAAGGCCGTGAAAGATGACGGTGGCCTGCACTAAGGTGGCAGCAATGAAAAGGGAGCAAAATGGTCAGATTCTGGGTATATTTAAGAATGATATCTGGGAAATCCCTGCATATTTGGAAATTAAATGATGCCAAGTCTAAATAGCACATGGGCCAAAGAAAAAAATTAGAAAATATTTGAACTTGATTCAAATAAATATACAACCTATCAAAATTTGTGAGATGCAGCTAAAGCAGTGCTCGGAGGGAATTTATAGCATTAAATGTGTGTTTTAGGGAAGAAGAAAGGTTTCAGGTCAATAACGTAAGCTTCCACCTTAAGAAAGTAGAAAAAAATGAATACATTAAAGCCAAAGCAAGCAGAGGATGGAAACAAGAACAAAATCACTGAAACTGGAAACAGGAAACCAATAGAGAAAAGCCAATAAAACTGAAAGTTGGTTCTTTGAAAAGATCAATAAGTTGATAAACCTCTAGTCAGACTAAGAAAAAAAGGAGATAAGACACAAAAGACTGATTTCAGGAATGAGGTGACATCAGTATGACAACTTAGGTGAAATGGACAAATTCCTTCAAAGACATAATCTACCCAAGTTCACTCTAGAAGAACTACATACCCTGAAGAGCTCTGTAACTATGCAAGTGACTGAATTTAGTTAAAAACGTTCCAACAAAGAAAACTCCCGGCCTAAGTGATTTCACTAGTAAATTCTACCAAACATTTAAGGAAGAAATAATACGAACTCTACACAATTTCTTCCACAAAGTAGAAGAGGAGGGAACACATCCCACGTCATTCTGTGAGGGCAGCATTATCTCGATACCAAAATTAAAG